GAATTCTCAAGATTAATACACTAATACATATTTTCTTATAAGGAGCTTCTTGTTTGACTGTTTGTTATTGTGATCTAGGCTCTCTTTTGCATTGTATATTTGAAAAATTATTAGACCAAAATGTACCATTTAAAGTTAGTTACTTTCTTTATTTAGATTTTGTCGTTGTTTAAACATTTTCTAAATATAAATGCATGTGAAAGTTTTATTGGGGTTGATAAGTAATTTTGACCTAAACAGTAGGCACCTTTTTTACATACTATTTGATGTTTTCTATCATGTTCAACACTTTATTTTGATATGTACAAAGTAGGGCTGCACAATATATCGTTTCAGCAAATAATATCGCAATGTGCTTATTTGCAATAGTAACATCTCAAAGATATGTAATGTCCAGTCTGAATTCTAGTTGACCAGGAGTTACAGAATTGCATTTAATCACTGTATTTATATGGAATTTATATGATTTATGCTTAAAAAAAAACTTTTCTTACTTAGAATTTTTTGTCTTGTTTCTAGCCCAAATATCTACATGTCAAAGCGAAACCAAGATTATTTCACAGACTCCACTGGCAGATAATATTATAATAACATGCAACAAAAAAAACTCCTAATTTTCACTTTTTTATTTATTTTTATTTTTGTATTTATTTATTTTTTTATGGTGAAAACTAAACAATATTTTTACTTGAGCTTAGATATTTTGATATTTGGACTAGAAACAAACAAAAAAAAGTTAGAAAAGCATTTTTTGCAGTGCGATTTATTTAATTGTTCTACCTGAATACTGTTAGACTGCCCAGAAAACCACAAAATAGTGCTAAACTTGTCTTGTGAAACTGTATTCATATCACAAAGTTTATTGCAGAAAAATAAAATAAAGCAATATCAGATTTTTCCAATATCATGTAGTACAAAGTGTTCTATTATTGTATTTATATAATATTTCTTTCCTGCTTTAACATTTTGTTTGTCTTCCCGAAACCTGTTTGTTAAACAGCTTCATTTCCTCTGATCTTTTATTCCACCTGTCAGTGTGAACATTGTGTAATGATGTCCCCATCTCTCTTGTTTTGACAGCTGAAGGCGTCTTTGTGGACGGGACACTTTGAGGGCCAAACAATGGAATGCTCTCTCCTGCCTTCACCGCACTGCACTCAACAGACTGAGGTTAAACGCTTTAGTTAGCAGTGTGCCTCTTCCCAAAAAACTCTCTTTAGCTAGGGGAAAGTTGGGAGAAATAAAACAAAAAACACACAAGTGAAGGAAAACGACCTTCATAGTACAGCACCTTATTCCACTTCTTTGTAGTTCGAGTTTGTCTTGGATTCTTTCAGAAGCTTTACGTGCACAAACACCAAGATGGATTTGGAATCGTATCTGTGGATGGTGGTGATTGGCTTCATTATAGCCTTCATCCTGGCATTTTCGGTGGGAGCCAATGACGTGGCCAACTCATTTGGGACGGCGGTGGGGTCAGGAGTGGTGACGCTACGTCAGGCCTGCATTCTGGCATCCATATTTGAGACCCTGGGCTCCATGCTCCTTGGTGCCAAGGTCGGGGAAACCATCCGGAAGGGAATTATAGACGTCAGTTTGTACAATGACACAGTGCCCATACTGATGGCGGGAGAGGTCAGCGCCATGGTCGGTAAGTGATGGCTCATTTAAAGTTGAAAGCTCAATGTGTCATTGCGAAGATTAACGATGGAGAAGCTTACTGAGGCATTTGTTTGTTCAATGTTGGCTGCCGGATTCTGGTAGTTGTAACCACTGTGAAAAAAAAAAGTTGTTGCTGCTTTTACATTTTGAAGTTGAAGCAATTTAACTTTACAAGTTATTTAATGTTGCATTGAAACTTGATTAACTTATTTAAATGAATTCTATTACATGTTACTACATGTAATTACATAGCTTTATACTACTACAAACTACATGTAACTGCTTTTGATGACATTTTTGATTATATACTTTTTATTAATGCCGAGTTTTTAAGAAATCACTTCCAAAAAATTATCACACTTTATTTTAAGGTTTCAGTCTCGAAATTAAACTGTGCATCAGCCACAGCCATGTCACCCTGCAGCCCAAGACCGGTTACTCACTGAAGCTAAGCAGGGCTGAGCCTGGTCAGTACCTGGATGGGAGACCACTAGGGAACACTAGGTTGCTGTTGGAAGTGGTGTTAGTGAGGCCAGCAGGGGGCGCTCAATCTGTAGTCTGTGTGAGTCCTAATGCCCCAGTAAAAGTGAAGGGGACACTACACTGTCAGTGGGCGCCGTCTTTCAGATGAGACGTTAAACCGAGGTCCTGACTCTCTTTGGTCATTAAAAATCCCATGGCACTTCTCGTGAAAGAGCAGGGGTGTAACCCCGGTGTCCTGGCCAAAGTCCCTCTATCGGCCCTTACGATCATGGCCTCCCAATCATCCCTTTCCACCGAATTGGCTCTATCACTGTCTCTCCACTCCACCAATAGCTGGTGTGTGTTGAGCGCACTGGCTCCGTTGTCCTGTGGCAGCCATCGCATCATCCAAGTGGATGCTGCACACTGATGGTGGTGTGGAGAGACACCCCCCCCCCCCCCCCTTCATGATTGTGAAGCACTTTGGGTGTATGGCCATACACAATAAATGCGCTATATAAATACACATTAAATTACATTACTTCTGAAATCGCACACTTATTGTATGTAAAAACAGTTTGTTAGCAGTCTAAATTCACAGTATTTGAAAAACAGTTGGTAGGAAGTTCTGTTACTTCCAGGAAGATTCTGAAGTGCGCATCCAGTGGCGCTTTGCTTTCCCATAGTGCAGCAAAAGAGAATATATAAGGGAGAGAAGCTACACAGCTGTCAGACAAATGGTAGATGTACTATATCCAAATTCCATTCACACTATTTCTAATTATACTGTATAGAACACTTTTCTAATTGTTTAAATTTTGTACCTACTTGACGACTATGAGATTTTGGGCACAGCTTTTAACTTTTGCCTCAAAAAATTGCTGCTTATTAAGGTAGTAGTGTTGTCTTTATACTTTATTTTGGTATCAATCTGGAAATTTTAAAAGCGGCCATTTTTCCGTTTTAACATTTGATTGCTGTTGAGCGTGTACTTAAACACTGCTGATTGCCCATTGTGTTCATGTGCTCAACAGAAATCACTGTGATTGGCCTTGAAGGTTATCAGTTCACTGCACTTTACTGTTGTTCACAGAGTGCAAACACAGATATAGGGACACTGTTATGTTTCAGAACCTTGAAGATCTGTCCATCCATTAACTGATCGCTATAGACAGTCTAGCTGATCTTCACGGCTTTGAAATGCTATAAGGATGTGTTCAAATGTTAGCAGGGAATAAACGTTGTTAATTTCTGTACTGATTACCGAAATTACAGAAATTACAGTATCGTGACAAGACTATAATCTAGTAGTTAAGTTTACATATTTGTTCTGATTAGGGGTGTAAGGGCTAGGACACACCAAGTTGACGGTCGGAAGTTTCTGTTTCCTATTCTAAAGTAAAACTTTGTTAGTTTGGGAAATAAATTGTTTGGGCTAAAAGTTACTTTTAAAAGTAATATATTACTATTGTGAGTCACTTCGTTTTTTTTTTTTTAGTTACTAAATAAGTTGCTTAGTAGGGCTGCATGATAGTGGAAAAAATGGACAATGCGATATTTTGTTTTTCTGCGATATACATGGCGATATGAATATAATTTCACAAAAAGTGACATAAAAGAATTCATACATCTACATAAAACAAAAGCCATTTGCAAGCATAGATTAATTCAATAAAACAAAGATAATCTTTTATAATTTTCTGTGGAGTCTTAGAACATAAATTCAACATTAATCAAATAACATTGAATTGTCTTTATTGTATAAATAATTTAATACAATACAATCTTTGTGAATTTTTTAGTTATTCGCTTGATGTCTTAGTCCCAGTTCCTTAAAACACATCCAAATGAAAATCTTTTTCTCTATTAGGGTTCACATTAGCTATAACTCCACAAATCATGTTCTGAAATGTGGTTCCTGGTCATTGTAATCACAACTCAACATTGCAGATTCTGGGATGGGACTACTGCATATTCACACATTGCGATATCGATGCTAAAACAATATATTGTGCAGCCCTATTACTTAGTTACTTTTTAAGGAGAGTAATGTGAAAGTATTTTATTTTATTTTTTTAAAAAGAAATTAAGATTAAGGCTTAAACTTGTTATATATAAGTTTTAAAAGTAACTTTACCCAACACTGCTTATAAACTGCTAATATGTTAATAATAGAGATGCTAACAAGCAACTACTTAATAGAGACAATAACTTAAGTACTACAGAGAAATTGGTTTAAAAAATTTCTGTTATCAAATGTATGCTTTCAGTTTTTAATGAAATCACACGTCTTTGGGAGTTTTTATAAATTTAGCTTACTCAAGATGGAAATTCTGTCATCCAGTGTTTATACTTTGGCAAGTGTTTTTATTCTTGGTTCGGGTGTGAAAAGCTCAATATGGGTTAGCAGCAGTTTACTGTTAACAAAGCGCCCATATTGCTGACAGAGTTGTGGATGAACATGTAAAAATATGCTGCTTGCTTTCTCTTTAATATATACAACAAAATTACATTGGTGAGAACCATAAAGAACCATCTGATCCTAGTAGGTTGGATGTTTGCACAAGCTTTGCAATTTAGCGCTCTAGTAAAGTCATGTCACGTTTATTCATATAGCATGTTATACAGTAGATTGCTTTACATTAAGCAGCTGAAAAACAGTAATAAACATTGAACAAAAAGTGTCAGCATTGCTTTCAGATGGAGTTAGAGCTTAATTTTATTTAATGAATTATAAAGTAGCAAGAAAGGAGATCTTGCTAATGTTGCAATTATAAAGTAATTGTAATTATGTTATGTAATATAATTTGACATTTACAAAAACTAATCATGATTTATTATTTAGTTAGGTTATATATGACTCCGTTGGAAAAGCTATAGAAATGAAAGATCAAAGCATGCTGATTAGTCTCTGGGAATACAATATATCAGCAATATAAGTCATCAATAATATAATAAAATTATTGGCAAGATCTGTTAAAGTGAATAAATCATGGATTTTTCCAACAGAGACATAAGAACTGCATTTTGTAAATAACTGATCAAAATCAATCATTTGGATGGTCGCTTGTAGTTTCCTTATTCTCTGCAATTCAGTTTTAAAAAATAAAGTTAATTGTCCTCTTTATTTGTTTGCCTTTTTATTTTTGGAAGGAATCAGAAATCACACCCAAGACTTGTGTTTATCAGCTTATATAAGGTTTACGAATATAAAATATAATATAATATAATATAATATAATATAATATAATATAATAGGGCTGCACAATATTGTTTCAGCATCTATGTCATTGTAAAATATACCATTAACAGAGTGAAACTTTATCATTTTCATGTGTTTTAAAGTTATTTCAAGAGAGTGTAAATCATTCAGCCACAAAAAGTACTTTGGTAACTTTAATGAAGTACAATTTTACTGAATTATTAATACAATGCAGACTATAAAGTGTTATTTTACATTTCATTATTCAATTTCTGTACCTGTGTACTGTTTGACTCCGCGCAAAACCATAAAGCATTTTTCGTTGCTCTGTTTATTTTTATACAGGCTTCACACCCTTACAAAATCACCCCAATCAATCTAAATGAATTATTTCTTTCCAAATAGAGCTATTCAAGTCATCTGGGGAAATTGTATTCATATCACAATATATATAGTGAAAAAACGAAATATTGATTTTTTTTTCCAATATCGTGCAGCCCTGTAATGTTTATTAATATAATATGAAAATGTATTCGTTATCAGAATCAGCCAAAATTTGTCATTACTACTAATAATTTAGCCTTCTAACAATTTTTTAAACTAAATGTTTATTGCAGCCGTACTCAGAATGCTGTAAACATAGTTTGCTCTCTAATGTTACTATATAAGTGCACTGTTAAAACAGCTGGTTTCCACACAATTGATTTGTTTGGAGACAACATTAAGGATTTAAGTTAACTTATTAGTTTTTACAAATAAAAAAAAATGCATTGAACGTAAAACAGTTATTTTTGTTCCCAAAAAAACTCCAGAATTGTTGTTGCAGCTCATTTTAAATGAGCACTTTTTTATCAACACATGATCTTTTGTATCAAAATCACATGACATTTAGTGCGTATACTGGAATTTGTTCGGTAAAACTGTTTCTATCGTAGTTTATGCAATTTTTTCATACTAAATAAAAAGTTTTTTTTTAAACTCAAAATAGATCTAAAATAGATCTTGCTGTTTTTAATCAACTGTTTTTTACACGCTTATACAAAATGTGCATAAAAATTGGTGGATGGAAACGTAGCTAATGATATTGTGTAAAAACGCACTGAATCTGTTCAACAATTTTTTATTCAGGGGACTTTGATTTAAAATGCTTAATTTATGTGGATTAACTCCATATTTGCTCTTTTTATGAATGTTATAAAGTGTTTAAGTTTTGGCTTTTAAATTAAGCATTTTATTCTAATTACATACAATTATATTGCAAAGATCAACAAACATTTTATGTGGTTTGGTACAACGTGAGGGGGAGTAAATGATGACAGAATTTTCATTTTATTGTGAACAAAATCTCTGATGTCTTTTAATAATGAATGGCTACATTGTAATGTTTTATAGTATCCCGTAGAGATTGGACTGAAGGCACAAGGGAGGAGAACATATGGCAGAAAGGCTTTTTTCGTTGCTCCACCTCCCACTCATTTTCCTGTCTCTTTCAGGGTCTGCGGTTTGGCAGCTCATCGCCTCTTTTCTGAAGTTGCCCATTTCTGGAACTCATTGCATTGTGGGATCTACTATTGGCTTCTCCATGGTTGCTATTGGCACTAAAGGAGTACAGTGGATGCAGTTAGTCAAAATTGGTAAAAAAAATATATAATAATTTATCATGCTGTGGTATGTAATTGCATGCCAGGAAATGTTGAACCTTTAATGTACAGTATAGTTATAAAATCTGTTACTGTTTCTGCTATCTAATTAATATTTTAATGTACTATAAATTAATTTAGCACCACACCATTGCTCTCTAAATAAATACATCACTCGGAATGTTCTGATTAAATCCAGAATTAAATTAGTAAATTAAGACACTTATGATGTAACAAAAATTCAGAATTAAAAAAAATGGTGTTCTTTTGAATTTTCTATTTAACAAAGATTTTTATTTATTTTTTTATTTCAGTGATGATTAATTAAAGGGAGAGTTTACTCAAAAATTTAAACTTTCTCACAGTTTGCTCTCTTCGAAATGGTTCCAAACCTTCATGAATTTATTTTTTCTGGTGAATATGGATGCAAAGATTAACCGGTTTCACTATTAACTGCAATTTAATTTATCACAGTTAACTAATCATAAAGGCTTCTCAACACCACGTTTCTGCATGGAACATGACTGCTGCAAATAAACAAATTTATGCCAACTGTGCGTTAGTTTAAATTTTCGAGCTTGAATACCAAGGCTAATATGCATGCAAACTGGAGCTGAGGCTATTAACTAAAGGCCATTCTCATATCGTGTCTTTTGTGCATGCAATTTCGTTATTTTCAATGGAGGCACATATTGGGAGCGCCATGCTCACACTTTCCAGGCGCACCTAGTTGAAAAAATGCAGTGAGCGCACCGCAAGTCACGTGACAAGAACTGACTGGTCAGCTTTATACTTTGCATGGAATATATTTTTAGTCCAAAAAGAAATAAGACTAAATAAAAATACTAAACAATTGTGTAATAGTTGATCAAAAGTGCCTTTCAGACAGAGGTTTAGCAGCCTTTGACCACATTTGTTCTCTTTAAAAGGAAAATACTTGGCTAATATGAAGCTTAGATTTACATTAGACAGATAATTTTATCTATTAATTCTTATTTTTATTTAATTATTTATTCATTTAATTATTTATTCATTTATTTATTCATTGTTCAGTGTAAAATTATTACTTCCAAATAAATTAAGTCCAAAGAAAGAAATGGACTATTATTTGTTTTTTTTATTATTATTTTGTGCTGTATTCTTTAGTTACTGAGCAGAAATAAATAACATTTTAAAATATTAGGAGTTTTCATGTGAATTTCAAAAGTGTTATGTTTTGAAATTAATGAATACATAATAATCGTGATAACCATGAAACCATGATTATTCTTTAGACTATAATCATACAACCTAAATCTAGAATAGTTGCATCCCTACTGGGGAACACAAAATAAGATACTTTGAAGAATTCAAAGCCAAAGTAGAAAAAAAAAATGCTCTGGATGTCAATGGTCACAAGTTTCCAAGATCTTTCTAAATATCTTCTTTTGTTTCAAAGAAGAAGGAACTCAAACAGGTTGTTGATTGAAGGTTGGCAGAATTTAGATTTTTGGGTGAACTATCCCTTTAAATTGATAAAATCTCAACTTTTTTTACTTTAAAAGGTGTAAAATAAATGCTTGTCTTTTCAACTTGGTCCATCTAATAATCAATCATATATCATCAATCATAATAATATAAATCATGATTACCACCAAAATGTGTATAGTTTATATTTTTATATTTTACCAAATCAACAAGGCATTAATGGACAGCCATAGAGTATATAGACTCCTTGAAAATTCTCAGATTCTCTGGATTTATGTTTAAGTTATATGCTTGAGTAAAATGTAATTTAGTTTTATTGTGTAAAAAAAATGCAGGACATTTTTCTAAATTACTATAAAAATATTGCCAGGGAGCATAACAAAAACAGCACAATGTTTTGAGTTTTTATTGATCATTGGACAAGACAATACCAGTGTTTTAAATTCCGTAGCTGTACATGTTTGTATTATATAACAGTAATATTTTGTGGAATAACCCTGATTTTTCAGTCACAACAAATTAAACCACTTAGCATCATTGAAATAAAGATTTTTTATTTTATTTTAATCTATTTTAAGGTGTTTAGTTAAATTTTAACAATATTTCTCAGTGTTATTCTCATTGATGAGCATTCAACACTAAGGAACATTACACATTTGTCCAACCTCAAGCAATATTCTGTGTGTGTGTTTATGTATTGTTCCCTAGAGTGACATTTTCTCATTTATGTTGTCAATGCTTTTCTATCTAAGATGTGTAATTTATTTATCATGGCCTGTTGGCCTTTCTGCCTCCAGCAGTGAAATGCGTCATTACTGTGGCGTGTTATTGATTTCATAATTGCTGTTTGTGTGATGCAGTTTCCTCGTGGTTCATCTCACCTTTGCTGTCTGGTCTCATGTCTGGCCTGCTCTTCTTCGTCATTCGATATTTCATTTTGAGCAAGGTGAGTCAGGTCAACGATTACTCTGTCTTACATCTCCTTATATCACTGATCTCACTTTGACAAATTTTAACGTCAGTGTAGAAAAAGAAAAAAACAGATCAATGCTCATATGGACTTATAAGGGGTCCTATTATGCAAAAATCCCTATAATAAGGACTTTAAAAACAGCTGTGTGGCAACAGTGTGCGAGTATAACCAGCCTCTAATTCTAAACATTTATTAATTATATTTTTTTTATGATCACACTTAATAAAAACAGTCTGCAGGAAGACTTTGGTTGACATTCTTCCTTTGAACATGTCATCAATGGGGGAAAGTCAAGCCTATTATTGAAATCTCTCCCTATTAGCATAAACAGCCCTGAGTGCGAAGCAGCCATCCAGCATACCTTATCTGCTGATGATGATGTTAGTGACTAAGGCCTCGTTTACATTGATTCTTTTTCGTTTTATAGCGCATACGTTTTGCTAGTGTTACGCCATCTATCTACACTACCCCAGAGTTTTCGCGCCCTGAAAACTGAGCTTTTTGAAAACACTGAAGAAGCCATTTTCATTTTAAAATGCTGCTGCTCTGTGTCAGTGTGGATTGAGGAAAATAGAGACATCTGAAAACAAAAGAGGGGCTGCAGTCATTCGCCTGATGCAATCTGATTGGGGCTTTTTACTCCATATTAAGTAGCCTGCACAACACAGTTTTGCATCATTACCTTGTAAGTTCAGACTTTGCAAGATATGGAAAACAAACTCCCGAGGACACGTCGGGCAAATCTTCAAAGGGAACAGTGTACTTTATAACCTCATTCACATCACCCTGGCTATCTTAACAATAAAATAAAAACATGATTTAAGGAACTGCCTACTTTCATTTTGATATTAACTTAACAGACACTAAAAATGTTGAGGCATCATGTAGCTACATATTGTTATGACTGTCATCTTAACTGTATACATATTTATAACAAAATGGAGCCTGTAGCAAAACTGCCTCCTTTCATTCTCATTGAAAATACAAAACATACATTGATTCAGAAGACCAAAATCGCGGAATATATCGTCAGATTTAAACTACCAGATGAATTAAATATCACGTTTAACAAATATAGTGAGATTAGGTCCAGTAGTTGATTTTTTTTTTCCCATTTTAGCAAAAATGGCAGAACTCTACTTGCTCACTTTAGGATATTTTTTGTGTGGTCCCCATAGATCTGCTATCTACTAAATGGAAACAAAACTATTTGATCATACCATGATCATTAAAATACAATCAAGCAGACCAATTTACTTAAACTATTAGTAACTTTGAGTAATCACCATATGACTTAAATAGTATTATAAGTTTAGAGATAAATACCCACCCACATTTAGATTGGTCTCAACAATATTCTGTTGTTCTAAATAGAAAAGCTCATTGGCCTGTACATTCTAAGCATGCCTAAAATAATGCCACAAACTCACACAGGGGCTTACTTCTTACAGTCTCACCTTCTCATCATGTTTTGGTTGAGATTTACGTCAAACATTGAATAAAATTGCATATTTCAAAGAACTTCACAGGATCTTTAAGTATTTTTTTTTATATATTATTCTGATGACTAGTGTAAACCTTAAAGTGCAGTAGAAGCCTTTTACTGTCATATATATACCATTTGAAATATGTTTTCATTCTGCTGACTGTTTCCAAGTAATGCCTGTGGCTGTTTAGATAGCTTTGCATTGACAATAGCTCATCTGTGGTCTGTGATGAGTCTGTTTTACAGTTGACTGCAGTTCATCTTTTAAATGTGTGCCTGGTGTCGACTCCCTCTCTGTAAACACTTACATATTTAAGCCTTAAAGAATTTGGTGCTGGGAAGTGCATTCTTACCTGCGGCCACATAAACACTGTGGTTTAAAGGAACAGTCCACCTTTTTTTTTTTTTTACTTAACCTAATGTTGAGCTAGACTTCTGTGTCTTTGTTCTGTGAAAAACAAAAGGAAAATGATGAGCAAAATCTCCTAGCAACTGTATTTTTATGTGTAGAAAAGTGCCGTTTATCGTTCTGTGGTATTTCTCTGTGTAAATGGGGATATAGAATAATTATACATCTTTAAATATAACCAACAAATTCATAAAACTGTAAAAGAAAGTATAAATCTTAAACCTTCTGCTTGTAATATTTCTAAAGTCATTTCTTTTTGCAGAAATACACCATAAATAATGACCAATTAGAACTATTATAGTGAAATAAAGCCAAGGTAAAATGGTAATTTTAGAACAGAACTCTTAATAACTATTGGCCATGAGCTGCTGCTTCGACAATATTAATGCCAAGAGCTGAATTGCTCAAATAAAAAATAAAAAACTAACTGAAACGGATATACAAAAATGCTTTAAAATAAAATGTAAGATATTTAATAATAAATAAATATTTAATAATTAAAATAAAAAGTGCATAATAGCCAAATACTTAAATGTAGGGCTTGCCAATATTATCATTTCAGCATAAATATCGCAATGTGATAATTCCCAATAGACACATCGCAGAATATATGCACTATTGAGTTTTTATTATAATTTATCATTTGCATTCTAACCTGCGGCCACATAACCACTGTGGTTTAAAGGAACAGTCCATCTTTTTTATTTATTTTTTTTTCATTCAACCTAATGTTGAGCTAGACTTCTATGTTTTTGTTCTGTGAAAACCAAAAGGAAGATGATGATCTCCTATAGCAACTATATTTTATGTGTAGAAAAATGCTGTTTATCATTCTGTGGTATTTCTCTGTGCAAATGAGAATATACAGTAATTATACAACTCTAAATGGAACCAACAAATTCATAAAACTGTAAAAGAAAGCATAAATCTTGAACCTTCTACTTGTACGTTTTCTAAAGACATTTCTTTTCGCAGGAATACAGCGTAAGTAATGACAAAATAGAACTATTATAGTGAAATAAAGCTGATAAGAATATTAATATTAGAACAAACCTATTAAAAACTATTGGCCAAGGGCTGCTGCTTTAATGTTGACGTTGAAAAGCTAAATTTCTCAAAAAAAAAAAAAAAAGAACTAATCTAAACATATGTATAAAAATGTATTAAAACTATTTGAAAGTTATTTGATAATAAAATAATAATTTAGTAATAAAAAAATTTGTATTTGCATAACAGCGAAATACCTAGATGTACTGCTGCACAGTATATCGTTTCAGCAGCGTTATTGCAATTTGCAATAGACACGCATCACAGGATGTATGCATTATTTAGTTTGCATTATTTATCATTTACATGTTTTTTTGATGCCTGGAATTTTATAATGATTTTAAAAGCACTCAGGTATAAGAAATTGTACCACTTGTGACTTTAACAATTAATTTTATTAAACTATTTTTATTTTTATCGGGAAATGATAAAACACTTGATTTTTGTCGCATCTTTTTCTTGAAGATATTTATAGATTATGCTTGAAAATACTCACAACATGTGCAAATACAGAAATACACTGCAAATAGCACAGACCACAATAAAAACGTGCTGGGGGCCCCCAAAAAGTTTACAGGTTGTTTATTAGATTTTATGGAGACGCAAATAGTAAAGATCAATTCATCAATCATTGACTAAACATGTGCATGAAAACACTCACAACAGTGCAAATACAGAAATGCACTACACATACAGTAGCACACACCACAACGAAAATCTGTCGGGGTAATTGATAGATTGTTTATTGGATTTTATGGAGATGCACTCCCACTGCAGAATTATCCCAGTTGACCTAACATTATAAATTCTTTCCAAGTAGAGATAATAAGTCATCAGGAGAAATTATATTTATATCGCAATATAAATCACAAAATAATATCACAAAATAAAACAATATTGCAATGCCAGATTTTTCTAGTATCGTGCAGCCCTTCTTAAATGTAAAAAAAATAATAATAATTTTTAATCTAAATAAAAATAATACAAACTAAAACAAAAAAGAAATCTTTAACCAAGAAAAATTAATAGTTCGTTACATTATTAATCAACAATTACATAAACACTATAATATTACTTAATTTTTAAAATTGGCTGTTTAAATTGCAACCAATAATGGAACTTTTTTTTTTTTTTTTCAAAATATTGTACATACTTCTTACCTAACAATTAATGTGATTTTAATGGATAAACAAAAGAAAAGGGCAATAAAAGCCAATCCATGTTTTTTGTCTTCTACATGAAATCTTTTTGCTTTACTCATAGTTGAAGCTTATTTAATGATCTTCATGTTTCTAGGATGACCCTGTTCCTAATGGTCTCCGTGCTTTGCCGCTCTTCTATGCGTCAACCATTGGGATCAACACCTTCTCCATCATGTACACTGGAGCTCCTTGTAAGAAAGTCACCAAACACATTCATTCATTCATCATCACATAAATGCAGACATTAAATATACCTAATTTCCCACATTTATTCTGGTATTCTTTCCAGTGTAATATTTTGATAAATAAAGTGTGAGTGTGTGTCAAAGTGTGTGACCGTGTCGTGCTCTTTCTGTATTTTGCAGTACTGGGTTTGGAGATGCTCCCTGTCTGGGCCATTGCCCTCATTACGTTGGCTGGTGCGCTGGTATGTGCCGGTCTGGTCTGGATTTTTGTTTGCCCCTGGATGAGAAGGAAAATAGCAAGTACGTACTGTCCTTTTCTCTTTTGTACACGCGTCGCTTTAAGTGCTGCTTGATGTCTGTCTTGCATGTTTGTACTACTTAGGGCCTAAAACTCGGTGCAGGCATGAATTAATACTTTTTTTACCAGACATAAAAATGAATGTGCTTTATTTAGTTTAGCGATTAAAATAAAACAATTGTTAACAAAACTTTAAAAATAAAATAATAAATTGAATAATAAAAATGTTTAATATACAATAATTAATACCAGACAGAATATATAGACGAAGCAAAAGTTGTTGTCGTTTCTTTAATTGTATTAGACAAAAATAACCAAATCAGATTTTTATCTGTTGCATTTTAGCTGTTTTTAATATATTAAAATAACTTTGTCTATTATTATTATTATAATAATAATTATTAATATTATTGTTCAAGACATATATAAAAACAATTGAAAATTTAATTAAATTGAATTAAAGTATTTAATAATAACCTTTTAAATGCAGTACTAATAATGGCATTAATATTAAAGCATTTTTAATTTAAACATTAAGAAATCAGTATTTTTATCTGTTTTATCAGTTGTAACTGTTTGTGATTTGATTTATAAAAACTGCTTAAATAATTAAAAGGGTTTATTAGTATTAGTATCATCGGTGTTGGTATCAATAGAACCAGCAGCAGCAATCTACAAATATTACTCCTAAATTGACCTGTCAAGTATTTAATAATTATACTACCAATAATAACATCAATATTATTATCATTATAATAACATTTACCATTATAGGGTAAGATTAAAAAATATAAAAAATATAATTAAAACCATATCATATTTATTTGTAATATTATTGCATTTAAATTATTACTTATACTGTAATTCTAACATAATTATTTAAATATCTAGGTATTTGATTTGTCCTTTGAACCCCATATTTGTTTTAGGATTAAAAAGTCCTATCGGTGTTTAGGTTCTCTTTATCATTCTATTAATTGTTTTTCATTTCAAGTAAAAAAAAAAAAGAAATTGATTTCTCAAATAATTTTCCCTATTATTTATTATCCTGAGATTATTTATAACAGTACCTCTGATATTAATTTAAATGATTAAATATGGTCTTCAACTCTCTATGTAAGTTTGTTTTAAGATGTCTGTATAGAACCCATCATTGCATATACACATCTCTTGGTTTGCTTAACCCAAGTTCTGCAGATAGTATCTGTAATGTAAAGTGAATGCTGACAAAGGAAGTGCGGATCCAAATCTAGGTTTATTACAAATAGTCAGGCAAGCAATGGTCAACACAGGGACAAACGAGTACAAGCAGATAATCCAGAGTTGTAAACAAATGACAGGTAAGTGGTCAGAAGGCAGGCAGTATCAGGAATAATCAATCAAAAACAGAGAGAGACAAATACGGCAAGACAAGGCAAAAGGAAAATGCGTCGTAATGTTCACAATTCAGTATAACACGAGTTAGCCCTGATGTGTGTGTGTGTGTGTGTGTGTGTGTGCGCTGTATATATAGTCCTTGTAATGAATGAATGATGAGCTTTAGCTGTGTCTGTGTGTGTAAAATCACAGGAACTCGGAACAGGTGCGTGTGAGTGGTGCATGACTGGAAGTTGCAGTAGTTTGTTACTTTTTAAATGTGTTTATTTTAGTTTCCCTTCTTACTTAAAGCAACTTTTTTTCCATTTAGCTCCTCATATTCTCTTCAACATATGCAACAGAATTACTTTTTTGTTTCAAGAATTATAACAACGTGGCTGTCGTTTTTCTTCTTTTAGATCAATTAAGACATTTAGTCTTTTCAGAACTAATTTATCTTCTTTTTTGGAAACAACTTGTAAATGTTATTAATATTGGTTCCAATTTACATGCTTATTATTTATTTGTATATCAAATTGTACTTTTCATATTTTTGCTTGCTTAGGGTTTAGACTGTGGGAAGTGTTTCAGGTGAAGTGTGCCGCTTGCTTGTGTGTGGTTGTTTGTTTGTTTTGTTTAGCAGTATTTTTGTTATGACGTGATGTACTCCGTTTGATTTATGTACTTCATAGGGACCCTCTCAAAAATGAGATGGTTCATCTCAAGGGGCTATCCCATTTAATACAACAATAATTTAAATTATACTGTATCTCTCTGATGAGGGATCGACATACAGTCTTTGCAATGACATACAGTAAATGTCCTAGATCATGCAATTTTCACAGCTCACAACTTTTACAAGTATGTATGGAGTATTTGTTGATATGTTTGGTAATATCGATAGTGTTAAACAACAGTTCAATCTATTAAATGTACTATTACTTCAGTATTACTTCAGTCTCTTATCGCCTTGTTTTACCCTGACTATAGTCTATAGAGATTTGATTCTGACCAAAACCGCATGGAAACATTTAAACGCTGAGTATTAAGTAAAACAGTATTTTAGTCATTTTATACATCACACTTCTTTTTTTTATATGAAATCTATCATCTGAAGACGGTTATGATTACTAACTGCATTCACAGAAATCGTGTGATTCACGTGTTTTTCCACTTGACACCTGGCCATGGAGATCAATGTTATTTCTAATGTAGCTTTGGAAAAAGTCAAAGATGAGTCTCAGCGTGAGGATCTGCCTCACATCTGCGGCTCTGCTGGGCTTTTGCTCATGTACAGAATGATTTCTCCTGGCTCCGTGTTGCGTTGGGCCGACGCTGAGAGCAATGAAAAGCAAATAAACCGAAGCTGTTTATTTGAGAACATCACTGTGTTTTCAGATGAGTCACGCAGACTTTGTGCCGTCGCTGTACTTTTTTCAATGGCCACGTGTTTTGTTTACATTGAGAATTGCGAACTTTTTTTGCATTACAGAAAGATTTCAACAATGTTGTTTAAATATGTTAAATATGCTCTAATTTGTATCTAGCTCTTAATGGAGTATAAAAATGTAAACACGGAGTCTGCTTTAAAAGTCTTGTTTAATTTTTTGACAATGAAGTAAAAGATATTTACTGAGGGGATTTGGGAATCTCTTTATCACACATTATTCAGAAAAACAGCCTGGAAAACAAATATTTTCATGATTTTTGGTCAATACAATACTGTATATAATACTGTATGTACTGTATATATCAGGCAAATTATTTATGAACATTCCTCTTTAAAAACTGTGGAGTCTGATCTAAGCAAAGGTGGCTGAAGTGGAGATTTACGCCTCAGTGCAGGAGGAAAACCAGGTTTTGAGAAAATCACCTTTAAAAATAGGCAATGCAATTGAAATACGCAGACCCTAATTGATAAAGTGCAACAAAAGGAACACTTAAAAGTGTATTTTGGATGTTTTATTTGACTTAAACTGAAATAAAAACACCTTAAGTGTTGACAAGTGGATGAAAAGCTGTTTTTGCTTGCAGTGTCTGGTCTAATGCACTGCTTTCACTCGCAGATTAGTGCTTTATTAAACTATTGCATGCTTGATTAAATTTAGTTTCAGATCAAGGGTCTGTTTCATAGTGCCGTTTCCCATGTGACAAGCTGTATAAATCCTTGAAATCTGATTTATTTATTCATTGGCTTTCAGGCTTTTTAGAAGTATCAATTCTATGGGTAAAGCTCAAATTAGCATCAAAATTGCACTAATGGTGCAGTGATAATGAATAAAAGCTACACACACTTTAAATTAGTTTTCCTCATTTACAATAGTTGTTCATTATCACTGCTCAATTAAAAAGAGCCAGTTGTGATCATACTTATTTCACAGTTTTACACGCATGGATTTTCTATGTTTATTAGTGATTATGTTTGCTTGATTGTTATTATCACTGTAAGCTTGTAAATTATGCTTGTAATTTCCACTTTTTCACAAATTCCTCTTTGCAAACAGTGTTTCAAGGGATATTAATAGGGATACACTAATATTAAAAAGTTGAGCTAATACCACTGTGTAAATGATATGATACTTTGTCATTTAACATTTTAGGCCATTTAGATAACAAAAAATAAAATAAAAAACATTAACTGCAAAAATGTGGGTAAAAATTGTTTCTATCAAAAGTTCAAAAAATAATATTTATTTGATGTATAACTGTTTTGTAAAAGCACATGTACAAATAAAGTTAGAAATGGCTTATATTAATATTTAAGTTTGTTTTATGATCTGAAACATTACATCTGACACTTTCACATCACTGCAACTTTACTGTAATTATAAAAGAATAATGAAAAAGTAGCATTTCCACACATGCACAAATAAAAATGTAAATACATTTTGAAAGTTTACAAGCATTATAAACATCTATTTAAGTTCCTTTCAGTCCACAACAAATCCTGTTCTCTTCCAGCACTAATCCAAAAATGTTTTTGAGGCTTGGCATAACATACTGTAGAATAAGTCGCTTTAGAATATTTCACCGCACGTTTCAGAAAAAAAATTACTCACAGATTACGCTGGAAAATATGGTAAATTTAATGAGCATCTAAATGTAAACGCAAAAGAAATTTGTTTTCAAAATATTTTAAAAAACAATATACGCAATGTAAGTCATAAAAAACAACTAATAAAGGATGCCATAACCAGTATGGTATCAATATATATCTTTATATTGATATTTAATACATACATGCTGGCTTTCATGAATTTCTTACTGTTTTCTCTCACAAACAGGTCGTCTGAAGAAAGAGCATGCACTTTCTCGCATCTCTGATGAGAGTTTGGATAAAATCCCTGAGGAGGAAGAGGAAGCTCCTGTGTTTAAAGAGCTTCCAGGTGCGAAAAGCAGCAATGACGCAGTGCTGCCGATGACTGAGGAGTCCACAGGAGAGCTCAACAGCCTGGCTAATGGAGGAACTGTCCTCCCCAACGGCAGAGTCTATGGTACGTGAAAAACAACTATGGTTGTTTTTTAATGGGTACGATCAAAGGCCAAGCGATGATACTATAATTATTATTATTGCAACAAATGTTCCATTGATTAAACATGATGCATTCAATAAATGTTGGACATGATTTTAAGCTTCAAAGTGGAACTAAATGGTGCTGCTTATCTTTGCAGGAATTGTATCTAATAGCCAAATTGTGTCTAATAGGGAATTGTATATAATAGCCAGGAGCTAGCTCTCTGCAAATCTCTCATGGTTGCCCACTGAAGCTAAGCAGGGCTGTGCCCGTACAGTACCTGGGAGGGAGACGAGATGGGAAAGCTAGGTTGCTGCCAGAAGTGGTGTTAGTTAGACCTGCAGGGGGTGCTCAATCTGCGGTTTGTTCAGGTCCTAACTCCCTAGTATATAGATGGGGACTCCATACTGCTCGTATACTAACTCTGAGTGCTGTCTTTCTGATGAGATGTAATCCTGGCCTTTGTCCATCATGGCCTCCTTACCATTCCCATATCATAATTGGCTTCATCACTCTGGCTTCTCTCTACCATTGCATCATCCAGGTGTAAGTGTTATAAAAATGTAAGAAATTGTTATAATATGCATATAATATGTACACACAAAACAGAACTATAAAATAAAGTGCTATCTTTTTACTGATCAATGACACTGATCAAATTTTTTTTATTGAATCTGCAGAAATCTGTCATGTAAAGCAACAAAAACCTGTTTCAATACAAGTTTATTATAAATATTGTATCATTGTAAATGTTGTACCCTAGGGGCTGGTTGCATAAAATACTTGGGCTTGAGTCTTAAAAAGTTAGACTCCATTTTCCCCCCCCCTAAAACACTGGACGTAACTTTTTTAAAGTAATTTAAAAAAAGGTTGACTGATTTATTTCAAATGTAAAAAGCGAAAGTTCTTACCCCGGCTAAATGCTAGGTGGTTAAACTAGTTCTTAAAATGGTGGCTTTAGATGGTGGCTATGTATTTGAAAGTGGCCCTGAATTTGTGGAATGTGCATCTGATTGAAACTTTTGTTGTTGTTGTTTTACTATAAAATTGTAGATTTAGTTTACCAAGTCTTTTACCTTTTTTAAACAACTAACTATTTACAGCTTTTACTCAAAGCAAAAATCTAAAATTACACTTGAAATATATATAGAGCTTTAACTTTTATTTTGATAAATATCAATGTCAATTGACAATTTGTGAATTTAATTTAAAAATGTTGTATTTATTTTTTATTATTATTTTTATTTTATATTTTATATATTTAAAAAAATATATATATATATATTTATTTTAAAATAATTACATTTAATTTAATTTTATTTTGGGGACATATTAGCCAGCCCATAACTACCTTTTGACAAAAATGTCCTCTGCTAAGCTAAGATATATTTGTTTCATTTAATGTTTGTTTGTTTTGATTTCATCAGGTCGCACCAACTCCATGACCAATGGCTGCCTGAAATCTCCCGTTTCCAATGGAGGCTTCAGCTTCGACGGCCACATGCGCAGCGATGGCCAGGTTTACCATACCGTCCACAAAGACTCTGGTCTCTACAAAGACCTCCTGCACAAAATCCACAAGGGCCGCCTGGAGGATGAGCGCCACGGCTCCCGTCCCGACAACAACTACCGTCACCTCCGCCGCAACAACAGCTACACCTGCTACACTGCGGCCATTTGTGGGATGCCTGTACAGCCGCTCTTGCGCTCTGAATCCAGTGCGCCTCCGCCAGAGGACAGCGAGAAGCTTGTAGGCGACACCGTTTTCTACTCCAAGAAGCGTCTGCGCTACGACAGCTACTCCAGTTACTGTAATGCCGTGGCGGAGGCTGAGATTGAAGCGGAGGAGGGCGATGTGGATGTGAATCTGGCGGCGGATAAAAGGGAGCCACGGGTTCCGGCTGAAGGGGTGTTAGAGGACTGTGTTGATGAGGACAAGGCGGAGAAAGACAATTCTCAGGTCTTCCTGCTCTTCCACTTTCTGCAGATCCTCACAGCCTGCTTCGGCTCTTTCGCACATGGGGGGAATGATGTCAGGTAAGAGGACACTCAATGTGTTGGTTAATTTTAGGTTAGTTTATGGATGGGTTGGTTAGTTTTTACCACTAATCGATAGATTAATCGGATAAGCTTTTTCCGTTTTCTTTAAAAATCTTTTGAATTGATTAAATTTAATAATTCAATTATAAGTTTTCAAGCAACAGGTTTGTTCCTTTGATAAATATTGCTAAATATGGTTGTTAGTGTTTTCTATATGTAGTTAATAATAATTATAATAATTCTTTTTATATAGTGGTTTTCTAGACAATCAAAACGCTTTACACATTTTTGGGGGAATCTTCTCATCCACCACCAGTGTGCAGCATCCACCTGGATGACGAGACGGCAGCCATATTGCGCCAAACCGCACACCACACACCAGCTGATTGGTGAAGAGGTGACAGTGATGAGGTCAGTTATGATATGGGGTTGGTTAGGAGGCTATAATGGACAGGGGCCAGTGGACAAATTTGGCCAGGATACCGAGGTTAAAAAAAAAAAAAAAAGCAGGGGTTTGAGGAAAATCCTGGGGTTTCTAATGACCACAGAGAGTCAGGACCTCGATTTAATGTTTCATCCAAAAGACGTTGCTCACTGAGCAGTATAGAGTTCACATCAATATACTGGGGTGTTAGGACCCACACAGACCGCAGGTTGAGCACCCCTGCTGGCCTTACTAACACCACTTTCGACAGCAACCTCCCATCCAAGTACTGACCGGGCACATCCCTGCTTAGCTTCAGTGGGTGACCATGTGAGAGTTGCGGAGAGCTAGCTGCTGGCCATGGGCAGATGTGACTTTTGCTACACTAAAAATAATGTCTGCAAAATTGTTGCCAACAACTTATATGTGTTGAATTTAAACAAATTAAATTGAGTAATGTTCAACTTTAATTTGCTTGTTTAAATTCAGCCCAAATAAATAGTTAATTCAAGAAATAATCTATGAATAATTTTTTTCAATGTATATTGCAAAATCTCAAGTCAGAATTGCTGTTTTAAACATTATTGCTAGAATAATTGATAATTAAACTCATAACATATACTATACTTATATCTCTTTTTTAGCATTTAAAAAAAGTTTTTTAAGGTATTTTTATTATTGCGAGTTATTGCGGTTTTCTTGCAATTCAAAATTTTAAATGCCAATATTAAAGTAATGAATTTTCCAGCAGCAATAGCATTTGGGTCTTACAAGTCTTTGTAACTTTATTTCTTGCAATTTGTTATTCAATTTGATCAATTATATCAAATTTCCTCAGAATTATTATTAGTTTATTACTTTGTACACTTCCTAACAAGTTTACTAGATTTTAATTAGCATTTTACAGCACTGTTTTTGCACAGTTCTTAATTTCTCACAATTTTAATTGTGGGGTTTATAACTTGAAATAATAATAATAATAAAAAAGCTATATGTTCCATTATTATTTTAAGTTTTTAGTAAGATCTCACCATTTAGAGTTTTTCATTCAAATTTAAAAAACCTATATTTTGGGTTTTTGAAAATGCCCTTCTATGTAGTGTGTAACAGATCTTAGTGAAGTGAAATATCCAGCTAAGGTTTAAATCTGTAAGTGTTCAGTGTTTAAAACTGTTGATTCATCTATAAAAGAGTCGACTCATAGAGCTTCAAACGAGTGGTCTTAATAACGAGTCATCAGGTGTTTCGTGATAGGTAGAGTGTGCTGGGAGATCTCTTTGCCAGTTGTTGGAGTTTTTGCTCAATATAATAGTTAGTCGTCGGTATTTTCAAGTCCATCGTCTGTATTTACATTCACCCTCTGGCAGCCAAAATTCACGCCTTACACTATAAAGTGTGTATGCACTGTGACTACTTTTATATTGTTGATTAGCTGCGGCATTTCACTCTGTCTCATGCTGAAGGCTGGCAGTGTCGACCAATCGCATCAGCGATCATCTGGGATAATTACGTAAAAATAAATGCAGATTATAAGACCATGAAAGTGTTTTTTGACCTTGCATGCATATTAGACTGTTGTTGGAGACCCTTACAACCCAAAATATGACCCTATTTACTGTATAATAGAGGCTCTTAAAAAGCTATTTCTTAATTATAGGTTTATTTGCTTTTGCTTAGGCATGTCACAATAATCAATATACCCACTTATTGCACAACAAATGGTCATGACTCATGACCTCAATCATTTTAGTGATATATAAGGCCCATACATAACTGATTCTTGCAACATTTTAGCTGATTGTACACTATCTCTATTGAAGGTGTCAGTGTAAGTATGATTTAAAAAAAAAAAAAAACACTATAGCATTTACTATAAATTACTGTAGCCGGCAGCTAATTCTGTGCAACTCACATGGTCCCCCACTGAAGCTAAGCCGGATTGTGCCTGGTCAGTATCTGATATGGAGACCACATGGGAAAGCTAAGTTGCTGCCAGAACAGTGGTGTTAGTGAGGCCAGTAAGGGGCGCTCAACCTGCGGTCTGTGTGTGTCGTAACGCCCCAGTAAAAAGGACTCTATGCTGCTCAGTGAGCGGCGTCTTTCGGATGAGACGTTAAACTCAGGTCCTGAATTTCTGTGGTCATTAAAAATCCCAGGATGTTCTTCGAAAAGAGTAGGGGTTTAACCCTGTCATCCCGGTCAAATTTGCCCACTGGCCTCTGACCATCATGGCCTCCTAACCATCACCATATCATAATTTGCTTCATCACTCTGTCTCCTCTCCACCAATCAACTGGTGTATGGTGTGCAGTCTAGCGCAATATGGCTGCCGTTGTGTCATCCAGGTGGATGCTGCACACTGGTGGTGGATGAGGAAATTCCAGCCCAATGTGTAAAGCTCTTTGAGTGCCCAGAAAAGCGCTATATTAATGTAAAGATATCGAATATTGCAGGCGCAGCCTCCGTTACTTTTTATCTTGCTTATCTTTAGTTAACAGTTATTATTGTTAAGGATATGTGTAATCACATTCTGATTCCAATGTCTAATTATTAAATTGTTAAGATAAGACTATAATGAAATTAAATATTCTTAAGAATAAAATTTGATGTTTCCTTTGGAAGAGTGTACTTGCATTGTGATGCTATTATATTGTCATTCTGTCATTATATTATGACATGATGACATAAAATAGTCTTAAAAGGACTATAATATAGTTTTTATCATAATATATTTTGATAATAATATATCATACAACAAAAATAGATATCATGACTGTCCTACATTTGCTAAATTCTGAGCTACAATTCTGTGAGTGATTAAAATATCAGAATTGAAGCAAACAGGGTTTCTGGGATTCTGAGTTCTTTCATTATGCTTTTGAGAACCTTTAATATATTTGGTTGGTATTATTATTTGAATAATTTCAGCTTTTTATTTTTAATGTTTTAGCTTTTTGGTCTGCTTTGTAATTAGTGAGGTCAGAATAAGACTACTGTACTATTTGCTGTGTTTCTTCACATTCCACGGCATTAGTGTGTCCTGAGAACAAGCATTCAGGTTAGTGGCACAGATCTGCTTCACAGCTCTACAGATGAATTGGCTCATACCCAGACTGCTAAGACCAAAGCCAGACGTGGCCTTTAGTTTGGGCAAACTTCAGCTGCTTAAGGTCTTAATGGTTCAGATCTTGCATTTACTTTTATTGGTGACATAATTTGATAATTGTATTGTAAAATAATTCTATTGTAATGAATAATAAAAATAAAAGTAATAATAACTCATTGTGCATTTAAATTATTTTAATATATTGGAGTAGGCATGAGACGATAACTGGTTTTAAGGTTTATCGCAGTTTGGAAAAGTCAAGGTTTTAAAAGCAGTAAAATTTATTGTTATACCATTCAATATTTGTAAGAATTTTTTTTGTGTTTTTTTCTATGTGTTGTAAAGAAATCTGTGTTTTTGAAACAAATGTAGAAAGCAGAAGTCAATGATTTATTTTAATTTTTTAGCCTGACATGTTTACTGCTCCAAAATATTATAATTGTTTCCTAAAATAAAATATATTTTGTTTAACGGGGAAAAAGATTTTTTTCACAAAAATTGAAAAAGAAATTATTTTACAGCAGTAATCACTATACTGTGAAACCGTGATTTTTTTTTTATCCAGATTATCATACTGTCAGTAACTTATACGGCGCATACCTAGACTGGAGAGCAAATGAACTGAATAAAATATGAGCACATCTGTTACAATAAAATTTAAATGCTGTAAAAGGCATTGATTAGGATAAATATTAATAATTAGATGTGTTAGTAGTTCATATTTAATTTTTAATATTCACACATTAATGTATCAAATGGTTTATTGATTACATTTAAAAGTTTATTAAAGAAGTAAGGACTTTGGCAGTTTGGAGGTTTACTACAGATGAATGTATTGTTTTGAAATTATTTTCTTATTAGTTGTAGAAGATTTATTATTATTTATATTCTTATATTTGGGTATATGCTTTTCTTATAGTGTGGTGGCAAAAATTGGAAAAAAGTATTAATGATTATTTCATTTAGGCCAAGGATATAAGAAATGAATCAGAAGTTACACTAGAGACATTAGTAATGTTAATAAAGTTATATCTATTATTTTTATTCTCATAATTCTTTAATATTTCTAATTATTACGTCCTGAAATATGCACCCCATACACACACACACACACACGCACACACACACACACACACACACACAGTTAAAGTCAGATTTATTATTAAAAACTGTGTTTATTTTAGCCAAAATAAAACAAATAATACTTTCTAAAGAAGAAAAAATATGATCAGGCATACTGCTGCTTCTATTTTTATTATTATAATTATTATCACATTTATATAGCATTATATTTTATTATAAACTTTTATATTATAAAAAATATAAAGGAGCACCCATGGTTTCAACCTTTTTAATGACAAGAAAAGAGGCTCTCTAGAGGACTACATGCCTGCTAAAACTTGTGTACTCATATACTATATTTATTATATCCTGTTACTTTTATACATTTTTGATTGAATAAATGCATCTTTTCAAAAAGATTTTATTTAATTTCATAACTCGATTTTAGATTGATTGCGTGTTTTCATCTGCATGTAGTTTGTGTCATAAGTTTCCTGTAATCACATGTTTGTTTCATCTGTAACAGTAATGCGATTGGTCCATTGGTGGCCCTGTGGATGATCTACGATCAGGGTGGAGTGATGCAGGACGCGGCCACACCTGTCTGGCTGCTCTTTTACGGTGGCGTGGGAATCTGCGCAGGACTGTGGGTTTGGGGTCGACGTGTCATTCAAACAATGGGCAAAGACCTCACTCCCATCACCCCCTCCAGGTGAGAACAGAACGCCTCTGCATGATGAATGCATGTGAATCATTAAACCTGCAATGCACACTGTATCTTTCTGGCTAGGGACCACAAATTCCCATGATAGATCACCATTTAGATTAACAATCAATGGTTGACTTAATGTATGTGTCTACATACACATTCAGAGTGGCATAGCAGGATGTACAAATGAAACTCAAAACACAGCCATCCTCACCTAAAGGAAAGTGTCTTTACTGTAAATAAAGGCTAATTGTGTTTGAAAAAGCTATTTATAAAAACTATTTAATGATTGTACTCCGATGTACACACTATTTAATGAGTGTACTAACTATTTAAGTATTGTACTCAGATTTACACACTGGCAACCGCAAACATCCTTAATGTGAGCAAATAGTTTTTGTTATTGTAACTATATTTGCTTTTCAAATGTGAGGTTGCTGTGCTTTTTAAGGAAACGGAGAAAGTGGAAAGGCTAATGTTCTCTCATGACTGTGTATGACATGTTAAAGGCTTATGGCATTTAATTATTATTATTATTATTATTACAAGTAATTTTCAATTAATAATTGACATTCTTAATTATGACCTACATTTTACTCAATATTTCAATTTGTTCATTGAATTAATCAAAAACGTTATTTAAAAAGACAGCACAAATGCACAGTGTGCATCTGCAGGTTTAATAAAATGACCTGATTTGATAAATGCATGTTATTTCTAACAAGCTGTTTTTTTGTTGTCCATCGTATACGATTTTTTAAAATAATCTGAGATGTGTAATATTAGTTGTCTAGGATAATATCATTGTTATTTTAACAATGTGCAAGCTGACAAGTATGTTACTAACTTTGCAAAAAGTTATGCAGTGAGCGAGTTACTGTATTGAATATTATATTCATTCAAACAGACACTAGGTGACATGAAGCTTGGCTGCAGCCAGCAATCAACGAGATTAGTTGAAAACCGACATGTCAGCTCGGACACTTCGGGGCTCAAAGTTGCTACAGTCATGATGGCCGATCACATGGCATCATTATTTGTTTATTAACTAATTTATTTATTTATTGAAGTAACATCAAAAGATTTACAGTACAAATAAAACAGAATACAGTCTCTACAAACTACAGTTCATTTTTTAACAATAAGGGAATTATTAACTAAATTTAATTACTGGTAGCCTATATAACAAATGTATGAGAAATAAGGGGAAAACAAGACGCAACATAAAAAGAAAAGAAATATGCACGATCAAAAGATTATTTTGAATAATGTAAGCATTAAAAAAAAAAAAACTTTAATCCAAAAAGATTGAACAAAATGCCCAAACAAAAATGAGCTACACTTAGTAGAAATTTCCCAGGAAGAGCAACGTACATCAGTGTGACTTTTAACATTTCTGAATAAATTACAGAAAATGAAATATTTTATAATCTTATTTTTTTATATTTGATAAAAAAATGTTTTAACTAATTTGTTAAGAAAGCTTTATAGGGCTGTCGGGATCAATTAATATAATTACTTTATTACAAGTCTGTAAGACTTATTTGAGTTGATATTTAGGTTATTTACTAAAATATACCATTTAAATCATTTATGGAGCTGAATACAGTCGTCTGTATAAAAGGGCGAATAAACCTGTGCAAACAATCTAACCTTTATATACAAATTATTTAACAAAAGATGATACTATTATATGATAATATAGATGATAATATTTGCAGCCTTTTAATAAGCATGATGTATACAAGATTTAGATGGTAAAAAAAGTTAATTGTTTGTTTTAAAATTTGTGAGATAAAATTTGTCAAATAATAAACCCGAAACACAGGTGGTTGTTGTCATGCGGTGAACTCTGCTAATTGTGTAATATCGGTGTCATCATCGCAGCTCCTACATTTGCTCTTCAGATGCTGCACCAGCTGAATCAGATGTCTGATTTCAGAGCGCTGTCACGGTACTTTGATGCCACAAGTGACAGTCACATGGCGTCAGCGCAGCATCAATCCGGACAAAATTTCTAACCAGCATGATCTGCCTTAAGACAGATTTTGATAGATCTGCACAGCGCTGCATGAACTCAAACTCACCTATTTACTTTCTGCATTTCAAACTGAATCACCATTTTGAACGAATCATTTAGATTGAAAGATTCACTGGTTAATCATAAATACTTTCTACATATTGAAATGAATCAACCATTTTGAACGAATAGTTTAAATTAATGATTCAGTGAATCATCTGTTGCCACCTACTGGTGGTTTTAGTGTCGCATTTTTTTTTTTCAGCTAACGATAGGCTATTTTACTTCTGGATCGAATGATAGAAGGTAAATTATACACTAAAAATACCTTTTTCATCAAAGTGAAGTTTTTATTCAACAATATAGTCTACTAGACATATGTTCTGTAAACATGCGGTGAATGTCAAAAGCTGACAGAAGTGATATCTCCCCTTCTTGATTCAGGTGTAATGGTAGAGTGCAGGAACAGAGCATGTGCTTTGGCAGCAGGGTCATAACAGTTTATCTGATATTGAAATCTTGCTAGATTAGTTTTCTGTATATCGGCTTTTCTCGTCCCTCGTTTGGGAACTTGCCCTCAATCCCTCTTTGTGTTGCCACCGCAAATCGGGTTAAGTATCAGCGCAGAATGACCGTAATTTTACATTTTTAACACACTTTAGAATAAAGGCAGTTTAAAGAGATCGCTCTCTGTTTTGCACCCTCCTGGGTTTGCTAAATTTAGCAAGACACTTGTGCACACGGCCTCAGCGACCTTGATTCACTTAGTAACAAGACAAACTGTCAAAAACAAATGAGCTCCAGTTGATCATCAGAACCAAAGCTTGTTACTCTATAAAAAGATGCCCACTGTTCTAAGAAAGAGAGCCACATGTCATTTTAATAGGGATGCTTGTGTAGAGATTGTGTGATTATTATACAGTACAGTCATATGACACTTCAAATGTAAAATGGTCAGAAAAAAATAAGGCTGTTAAAAACCAACGACCAAAAATAAGTAGGTTTATGATTGCTCATATTTATAAACTTTGGTATTAATTTTTAAATAAAACTCACCATGTATGAACCATAAAGCATAAACATTACTTTTTGCTATTAAAATAACGCCCATCTTCACTTATATTTTCCTTAAATGGGGTTATAAAATGTAGTGGATTTTTCTTTTATAAACATTATCATAAAACTAAACAGAATGGTAGTGTTTTATTTCAGCTACTTGCCAAGAAAACATTTCTCATTTCAAAACATACAGAATTATTTTTAAAAAATAAAATGTAAATATTCACAAATTATTTTTCTAGTGCAAGGTGCACTTAAGTTACCTACCTACTTTTAATAGTTACGTTAAGATAATTAAAATCATTTTAATTGGTATGTTGACAAGTACTGTACTTAGCAATGCATTAAAAAAACATTTAAAAGCTATAATATGTTTTCTTTTTAGTTTTAATTGTTGGTTTATGATCATGGAAAAACTAGTATAGATGGGATGAACATCAGCATTTTTGCAGCAATTAACCAGTTTTTGCAGATTTATCTCCTTAGGCACAATAAACAGCCATGTAAACATTAATCCATTATTACCATGGCCACTTTATTAGGTACACTTGTCCAACTGCCCATTAACACAAATTTCTAATCCGGCAATCACATGGCAGCAAGTCAGGCCATTTTGGCATGTAGACATAGTTATTTTTATTATTATTATTATTATTAAATTATTATTATTATTAATATTATTATTATTATTAATATTATTATTATTATTAATTTATTTATTTATTTATTTATTTTATTATTTATTTTTTTGTTTGTTTTTAAGTTCTTTAAAACCTAGCAAAAAAAGTACATCTGTAAAAGTTTGTGTGAATGGTGTTATTTTTTATATTTTAAATGTTTTAATTTGAAAAGTACTTAGATTTGCTTACACATGTGCAGATTTTCCAAATATGTGTGTGCGCGTGTGTGTGACGGATCAGGTTTTCCGCTGAAGGGTCACTGACTGTTCAATCCTGCATGACAGTTCAGTCTATACTAAGTGAGTGTGGATCAGGTGGCCGTGTTCACGTAGCTCACAAAAATAACAATCGACCCGACCTCAGCATCTGTCAGCTTGCTCATTGATGTATGTTGACAGAAAGGAGCTGTTTTTTTTTATTATTATTTCTTTACTGCAACTTCTTGCATTGTGTTATTTATTTTAAAATGTGCTGTTTTAATGCATGCTTTTGTGTTTTGTGTTTTTTGCTTTATGTAATATGCATGTCTTACCCACATGCTCCAGGTGTGTGTGTGTGTGTGTGTGTGTGTGTGTGTGTGTGTGTGTGTGTGTGTGTGTGTGTGTGTGTGTGTGTGTGTGTGTGTGTGTGTGTGTGTGTGTGTGTGTGTGTGTGTGTGTGTGTGTGTGTGTGTGTGTGTGTGTGTGTGTGTGTGTGTGTGTGTGTGTGTGTGTGTGTGTGTGTGTGTGTGTGTGTGTGTGTGTGTTTGAAGAGGCTACATGAGAAGTGCATCAGCATAATTTCACAGCAGGACTGATGTTCTTTCCACCTGCATGCCTGCACACGTGTCTACTCTCATATAGGGGTGTTCGATATTTTTCCATATAAGCTAATGTAATTATGGTTGATTTAACAACGTACAAGGTGACATTGAATATGTCAACCTCATTGCAAAAAATTAACAAAGAGAGCTTACCAACTGACATGATTTTAAACACACAAATATCTGCAATATGGTTGGTTCAAGGTATTTATGATAGCCCTGGTGGAAAAAAGAAGCTTGTTAGTTGATGAGAAAGCTTATCTTGTTATTTCAGGATATTAAGTCATCATTTTGACATTAACATTTTTTGCCAAGATATTACAGAGGATGGTTCACATTTAAATGAAAATTCTGCCATCATTTACTCACCCTTCACTTGCTTCAACCCTATTTGAGTTTCTTTCTTCTGTTGAACACAAAAGAAAATAATCTGAAGGAATATGTTAACCTATAACCGTTGACTTCTAAAGAATTTGTTTTTCCTCACTATGGAAAAGTGTTACAATGGTTACAGGTTTTTGTCAATAAACGTTTTTCAATCTTTTGTTTAACAGAAGAAAGAAGTTCGTAAAGGTTTATAATCACTTGAGGGGTGAGGAAAAAGTGAGTAAAAGTTCATTTTAAGATATTTAGTAATTATTTCGACATAACTAGTTATTCTGACAAAATTCATTATTTTGACAAGTATCAATGTTAAGGTACAGTATAAGCCTTTAGAAGGCAGAATTAGACTAGTAATCAATTATTATCGAATAGTCAATATTACTACAATGCAACCCCTAAAGACAATTGTCGACATAATGACTCATAAATAATGAACTAATGTCGAAATAATGAAATAATATCATGAAATAAAGTTAATGTCAAAGTTAGTTAAGGGGTCTCTTACGTAGCAATGACGTGTAGCACAAGCTCTGTGATTGGTCGACTTGGTAGTGCTGACTAATGTGGACGGTAACAGAGAGCCACACAAGCCCATTGGAGCGAATGTTTTCACATGTCGAGTCCTATGAAAGAGCCCCAGGAGAAGTTTTATTTTGTGTTTACATTACGATTAAAGTTGTAGCATGCCCGCCAGGTTTCTGCCTCAGAATGAGCAAGTTTTAGCCCTTTGCACGTTAAGGTAGTGTTCCGAATAAACAAAACACCTGCAAAGAAACACAATACAGAGAAACATAAAAACCTCACTGAAAGCTAGCATATCGGAAGTGCTATTGCTGAACAACACAAATGGCATACAGAAGTATAAATGCAGAAACGCACAAGGTATGCGCCGTGGGTCGTGCAGATCACTTGACGCAGAAGTATAAACCAGCCTTAACTTTTCAAACAGTAAACAAGAAAAAACCTTTAATAGAAAAAATATTTATTGACCTAACATCTATCTATATATTGTCATTTTTTTTGTATCAATAAATATTAATGATAAGTCAGTGTTTATAAAGCGGTCCCAAAATACTTGTTAAAAAAAAAGTGCCTTAATGTCAGGTGCAGTCATTAAATAATTTGAAAGAATGATTCATTGAATCACTTTTAGCCACCTACTGGCAGTTTTAGTGTCATCAATGATCTATCTATCTATCTATCTATCTATCTATCTATCTATCTATCTATCTATCTATCTATCTATCTATCTATCTATCTATCTATCTATCTATCTATCTATCTATCTATCTATCAATCTATCAATCTATCAATCTATCAATCTATCTATCAATCAATCAATCAATCAATCAATCAATCAATCAATCAATCAATCTATCAATCTATCAATCTATCTATCTATCTATCTATCTATCTATCGCTGGCTATTGTATGTAGAAATATCAAAAATATTAAAATGCCATTTTTGGTTAATATCGCACACCCCTATATACATATATACATGCACACAACACACTCTCAAACATTTCCCTTACAGAAAACCCATCAGCCCTGTTTTCTTCTCCTCAGACTTTCTGCTTGTGTGCCGAAATGTTTGCGCTTCTCCAGTCCTGCATGCTGTGTGTGTTTACCAGCCTCTCTCACAGGTGGAACTGTATAAAGTTGTGTTTTTGTTGCCCTCCTCCCGCAGTGGATTCACTATTGAGCTGGCCTCAGCGGTCACTGTTGTTTTGGCGTCTAATATCGGACTTCCAATCAGTACGACACACTGCAAGGTAAAGAATCTGTCGAGGGCCCAGCTGAAGCCCTCGGGCCCCTGCAGACTGAGAGAGAGGAGGACCGAGAGGGGACGTCTGTTTTTAATAGGCCCGAGAGTTGCTCTCCATGTCACATTTCGAAAGATCTTGCTGTTGGTTTTCTATAAATGATGGCCAACAAATGACACAAATAGAGTTATCATGACCTTAAAATTGGTGACTAATTAACGTGTACATTTAGTCAGAAATTTTCTATGTTAGTTGCTCTTTTTTAATGTTCTGATGTTTTGTTATTTTATCCAGTTGTAAATTATTCAATTTAAATATTACCCTAATAAAAAAATCTAAATAGGACAAAATAACACAAGTCCCCTAAAACACCCCAAAACATTCTAGAATCAAAAGGAAAGCCTGATTATTTGTATATTAATAGTAAACGTATCAGTGCCAATAACTACCAATTTTGCTCTACACTAGCTAGGCTAAATTCCCATTATTTTATCATGAATCTTATTTATTATTCTTTTTTTTTGTTAAATAATCATAAATTATGTGCATTTTATGTACTATTTTCAAGCACTTATGAATTATTTAAAAAATTAGGATATATATCAGAATCAGAATATATAAATACAAATGTATAAATAAAACTAAAGTAATAGTTTGTAACTACCAATAAACATTGTCCCATTTTAGCAACAATAATGGAATGAAATGTTTGTGGTTTCTTTATATACAACCAAAAAATATATATATATATATTTTAATGAAAAAAAAAACTATATATATATATATATATATATATATATATATATATATATATATATATATATATATATATATATATATTAGGGATGTAACGGTATTGTAAATACCGTCATACCGCAATATTAATTTTTTTCGATATTACCGAAGTCGCATGACTCGGTAATACTATAGGTATTCTGAAAATATTTGCTCAGGCGAATGAAGCGAACGGGAGGTAGCGAAAACTACAATTCCCATCAGCCCATGCTTGACCATCATCCCTTGCGGTCTGTTGTCGCTACAGATCCAGTAATGCGGAAATGGAGTGTGCTGCTAGAAGCGGGGATGAAAAGAGCTGGAAAACTCTAAGGCCCCGTTTACACTAATGCGCCTTAGCCTGAAAACGCATAAGTTTTGCTACGGTTACGCCAACCGTCCACACTACGCCGGAGTTCTCGAGCGCCGAAAACGGAGCGTTTCGAAAACGCTGGAGAGGCCGTTTTCATTCTGAAACGCTGCTGCTCCGTCTCAGTGTGGATGATGGAAAACGGAGACATCTGAAAACGGAGGCGGGGCTGCAGACGTTCGCCTCTCTGATTGGGGCTTTTCCTGAGTATTAAGTAGCCTAACACGCACAGTTCAGTCCTGCATTCTCTCCGTGTAAGTTCAGACATCGCAAGTTTGATCAAGGCTGCAGTCTCTTCTTCTCAGTTTGATATGGAAAAGCAGACTATACCGAGGACACGGGTAAATCTTCAAAGGGAACAGTGTACTTTATAACTTCATTCACACCACCCTGGCCACGTTGTTTCACTTTCTCAACAATAAAATGTGAACATGATTTAAGGAACTGCCTATTTTCATTTTAATATTAGCAACTTAGACAGCAGACATGTTGAGGCGTCGTGCTGCATAAGATGAGCGTCATCTTCACTGTGTGGATATTTATAACAAAACGGAGCCGATAACAACTGCCTCCTTTCAATTTCAGTGAAAATACGAAACACAGCCTCTCTTTTGCTGAGTATCAGTTTTAAGAATCGACTAAGTGAGTGAGTGATTAAATGTTAAATGTGATGAGTTTTTAACAATACTAAATTGAAACTTTATTTTTTTTTACATGGTTTAATTTTTTTTTGTTATTAAAATTGAAGTTCCTGTTTCAAAGCTTACAGATAGATGGCTAATTTGTATGTCATTGACACTTTTTGCACGTTTTTGGAGTATTTTCATAAGTTTTGTTTTTTTCCTGTAAATGATTCAATAAATACCGTACCGTGACATTCATACCGAGGTATTACCGTACCGTGAAATTCTGATACCGTTACATCCCTAATATATATATATATATATATATATATATATATATATATATATATATATATATATATATATATATATATATATATATATATATATGTATATATATGTATATATATATATATATATGTATATATATGTATATATGTATATATATATATATGTATATATATGTATATATGTATATATATATATATATATGTATATATGTATATATTATTATTGTGGTATATCGCCACTGTGGGGGACATGCATTGGCTTGAGGCGGCAGGCCTAGTGCCTTAGTGTGCCAGCAGTGACGATAAACAGCCATATAATATTGCATTTATACAACAGTCTCGACAGCATAATCATGTAAATAAAAAAGAAAACAAAGACGTAGGGTCTCCTCATTTGTAAGAGAACCTACTTTCTTCTGCCATTCCTTCACATCTGCACCTGACGTCAGAACAGCAGAAACCGTTGCTACTTCACAAACATCACTTTAGAACTAGTATTTGAATGATTCTCTAGTGTAATATCTAAAATGATGACAAATCAGGTGATTCTGCTCTCGTTTTAAAATTATAAGGCTGAACGGCATAATATGGCATCAGTCTAGAGACATTTTCCTCCATTTATTTTGCAATCGGGAGATCACAATAATTCACTTTGAAAAAGCCAAAGCAAACACTACCAAATTACTATGGTATTAATGTAGCACTACAACATATACAGGAGAGGGACTAAGAAAGTCACTAACCAGTTTCATAATGATTTAATCAGCTATAGTTTTTCCCCCCCCAATGACTTAATTGGCTGTCTCTGTTGCCATCTGGCAGTCAATCGTCTTTTTTTTTTTAAAGAAATATTTTACAATTGGCCCTATCATTATAAATAAACTGCATAGTTGCAATCTAAATAACTACATTCTCCCCTAAAAAGCCTCAAAAGTATACACAAGAGTAATACACAAGGGTGAAGAGGCTGTATGAGTGCTGTTATTGAAAAATATTGCAAGGATATCAGATTTGAGATCTATAAAATAGATAAAAAAAATAAGTAAATAAAAACAAATTATAGTGTGTGTGTGTGTGTGTGTATATATATAATATTTTTACCACATTTTTAATGCAATTCTGTAATCAGTTTTTAAATTAAGTTATTATTATTCAGTGTTTTATTATAATAAAAAAGCTTCATAGCTCATAGCCTCACATGACTCATCCAGTTACTGATGTCATTGACTCGGTCACCCTTTCTGACATAAAAGTCATAAATCACACGGATGTCAACGAAGGACACTGAAGCGTCTCATTCTCTCTAAGCCATTAAGAAATGAAGACTCTCTCTCTCTCCGTCCTCTTCTCTCAGACATGGCCTTGATTCATTCACAATGAAATAACTGCCTCTTCTCTTCACAGACTTGTGTTTAAGTGACGCTTCAGTACATCATCTCTATGTCCTGCTCATCTCTGTTGTGGCATGCTGTTGTGTATTTGTCCACGTTTGTGTTTGGGCCAGTGGTGCCTGGCTCCATGCATGTGTGTCTCTTACATTGTGTTTGTCTTTGTCTTGTCATTTGTTGTCTTTTCACAGTGGATTTTGCATTGAAGTAATGAGCGCTTTAACTGTGCTTGTTGCCTCAAATATGGGCGTTCCTATAAGCTCCACCCACTGCAAGGTATTGGTCCAGTAGTGACGCTTTGGTAGAGCTAAACTCCGCCCTGTAGCTTAATTAGCTTTATCATTAAACAACCAATCAGCACTCACCTTCTGCAAACATGACTCTCGCCATGATTGCAGCTTTGATTCTTTTGTTTCTTTGATTCATTTTTGCTCATCTGCTTAGTGGTTTTTAGAGCTGGGTGATTTGGGTAAAATATATATTTTTTCTTTCTCTCTGAACAGTTGACTAAATTAGAATATTTTTTTAAGCACAGATGAAGAGGTGCAGAAAAAAATGCTTGAAATAGGAAGGAAAATTTCTTGCATACAGTAGTCAAAATTGTAAGTGGATCAAAAAATTTTTTTTCAAAATTGTCTTAAGACAAGAATGAGTGATCCACTGCAAATGAGGACTACTTTATTCCAATATATATGGCAATGTAATATAACGTAATGTGTATTTATTTAGCGCATTTATCGTGTATGGCCATACACCCAAAACGCTTAACAATCATTGGGGGGTGGTCTCTCCACACTTAACATCCACCAATGTGCAGCATCCACTTGGCTGATGTGACTGCAGCCATAGAACAACGGCACCAGTGTGCTCATTACATAGCTATTGGAGTGGAGAGACCATAATAGTGCCAATTTGGTAAATGGGGATGATTGGTAGGCCATGATTGGTAAGGGTCGATGGAGGGTGTTTGTCCAGGACACTGGGGTTACACCCCTACTTTTAAGAAGTGCCTTGGGATATTTAATGACTACAGAGAGTCAGAACCTCAGTTTAACGTCTCATCTAAAAGACAAATTTACCACCAAACATCTAGTCACAAATAAGCTTAGCTAATAGCTTTGATCAGTAATTTTAGCAGTCAAACAATTAATCGTCATTAATTGCACCCAAAATGTTTGTATTTGCTTTATGTATGCAGTGTACTGTATAATAAATTGTATAGAATATGTAAATACAGACCCATAAATGCATGTGTGTATTTATACATCTGCCCCCATTAAATTTTATCAATTGATTTAAGGGCATTATCAGTGATTATCAGCTGATAGATATGGGGCAGTTGGGGCATTCTGCACCTAGTGGTAGGCTCAGAGAGCTGTTATCATCCAACTACATGGTTAGTCAGCTACACTAATAAAGAAGACTTCAGATCTAGATCTCTTTTTACATTAATATGACTTTAGGGGTAGACGTTGATGAAATACAATTAATTGGAAATTTAATAAATAATTTTAATAATTCTAATTAACTTCCGGTTGTAGTAGTATGTGATCTATAGCTGATT